GGAGCTGTCCCTGCAGCACCCCGGCACGCGCAGCCCGAGACAACGGGAGAAACGTGAGCCGGGGGCTCGACTTCGCCCACAGAAATGCCCCTTCCCGTAAAAATAATCACATTAATAACAGCAACATCAACAACAACTAATAATGATGCAGGAGGAAGGGAGAATGTCTGACTCTCAACTCTTTTCTGAAAGTCCATCTTTATGCCTCTACTTGTCCAATCATACCAGACGGCCAAGGAGAGCATCCCCTAAAAGCACAAATCCTCGGACATCCCTCCCTGCTTTCTGCCCCCTCCTCTTACTCTCACTCTTAGCCAATTTGGACAGGCCTCGAACATGCAGCAGTTACATAAGGAACATTCTCCGTCGCTCTGAAATAATATATTGGGACAAACTGTTCTGCGATTGATTAAACAGCTAAGCACATTTGAAGGGTTGGAGCAATCACAAGAACTGTTTACCACTCGTCTGCAACATACCCACGTTGTCTGTACAGAAGCCCAGCCACACAGCACTTCAAGCCTGGGGGTCCCATCAGCAGAAATACAGCAAGTTAGAAATGGACAAGGAGGTTGAAGGCCCAGGCCACCAGGATTTCATGAGAAGCAAGTCCAAAAGCATCCTTCTCATTTACTGTTACCCACGTACTGAAAGCAAGTAATAACCAGTGATTAACATACCTGAGTGCAGCAGTAACACATCTTTTTCTCCTGAGATTTCTATAACACAGTGATATTTCCTGTCTTGAATGTCCTGGTACACGGAGTATGTTGTTTCCATTAGGGAAGTTAGGGAATTAGTCAGTTCACAGACTGTTAATGTACTGATTTTAATTGTCTCAGCATCATCATTGCCATTTCCTAACATATATATGTTTTCGCAGCTTATTTAGTAAAACTTGTAACTCTATTAATATATGTTAACAATGCTAACACATAACATGTGAACATATAATCACATGAAAAACTTATTGGTGTACAAAAAAATAAGTAGAGCTCTTAGGACACCACTTTTAAAAGTACTTCTATTGCATATAGGCAAATACTGATTTCTTTCTCTTGATAGTAATATTGAGATTTACTGTTCATGTTGGGGGCGGAGGGCAGTTTCTTTCATCATTTTGTTCTTCTATAGCTAAACAACCCCTGATAGTAAAATATAAAGGCAGTACATGTAATTTCATGAATGACCTGTATGTCTTCTCAAATATTGGGGAAATTATCTATTTTACTGGATTTTCTTTCAAGAGATAAATCAGAACCTCTAGGAAAAAAAAAATCTGATGACCCTATAATAGGTCCCATAGTATATGGTGCACGTGTCTGATGAAGAATTCAGAGCTGAATAGCATCTTTTATTTAACAATAATAGAGCCAAGAAAGATGAAGTCTATTTACACTCAGGATCTGTTTAGATAATGTTCTGGTTTTATAGAACTACTCACTTTTTTGAAGTAACAAAGAAAAGTAGTTCTGTTGTTGCTTTTGGCATTGGCTAGCATAAGTTTCCTAGTGTTTTTCCTAGACACAGAGCCCACATAACTCACAAAGTATCAAGTCATTGCTTTAGAAAACAGCATTAAACTTTGAAATGAGAAATAACACCATAAAATCTTGCAAAGGAAGATTCTGGTTTTTGAATTGAAATTCTTCAGATTAAAGACCGTAGTTCATTAGGAACTGTGTTCCAGTTGGACAGATGCATACTGCTCTGCTCACTAAGAATTTCAGTTTTTAGCTACCACAGAGGCAGACATAGCTAACAGCCTTATATCCTGTCATCCTGCAACCCTGGAAGTTTTTCTAAAACATATGTGTGACTCCAGAGAAATATACTGTCTTGGTACACTCTCTACAGACGCTGCTTCTCATCTTGACTTGGCATAACATATCATAAAAAGAACAGAACTTGATTGAAAGTGCCCTCTTTTCCTGTGGGACCTTTAATCTTTATACCTGTAGAGCATCAATGATAAATGAGTTATGTTTGGCATAGGTTAGATGAGAGGCAGTGGAAACCTGGAGACATGTTTGCTCACTCCACACAAAACCTTCAACAGGAGTATCAAGAAATACAACACTTACCAGATTGCCAGTTGTATCCGCAATTCTTCTTGTGACTGCATGAACACCACGAGCTACAACTGAGCTTCCCTTGGAGAGGAGCAAATCCTGTGCAATGGTGCTCACAGGCACAAATTTGGCACCTATTTTTGCTAAGTTGTATGGAGCATTTTACAACAGAATCATCAGACAAAAATATGCAAAATTCTAGAGGGAGTGAGAATGAGACAGCAACTTGGGCCCAAGCTGACGTTCTCACAGATGAGTAACCCAAGTTGCCAAATCCCAAGGTCAGATTCCCTCTCTCTGTTCTAAAGGACCGTTGTACTGGCTGCAGTGTCCTCTTCCTCCTTGCAAAATGTCATCTGACAGCTGGATGGCTTAGGCTACCTCCTGACATGTAGGAAGCATGGGTCCAAAACCGTACCAGCCGACAAGACTCAGGGTTCCACCTTCCTGAGCTAAGTGCGAGTAAGCCAGCCTACAGTATTCTGCTACTTCATATTCATTTTGCTAATTTTTGCAAACTCTTGTGATGTTTCCTGTGATTTCACCCATGTTTCACTTTGCATCACTACATAAGGACAGGTACACCTCATGCTCTGCATTTGTTCCCAAATGTATAAATGTGCCACTTTCCATATAATTCCCCACTTTCTTTGAATTGTGCTTATAATCATACCTTAGAATATCCACCACCATTTTAGTATTAAAACTAATTAAAATTATAAAGTTTTTAATTTAAAATATGCATACATTTAATATACAAAATTATACAAATTATACATTTAACTAACATAGAAAAATACATCTTGTTAACAAGATAAAATGTCAACTTATCTTACATAATTTAAGTGAGACTTACAAATCAGTGGTAATCAAGTCGATTTTAGTGACTGCATTACAGTTCTGTATTCTCCCTAGTTACACTGAAAATTAATACATATATACATTTGATATCTGTGATAAACTTCTTAAAGTGAAAGTAATTGCTGAAAAGTTAATCATAAAATTTTAATGGAATTGTTCAAAACAAGAATGGCATCTTTTGTATTACTGAAACATTATCAGTTCTCTACCTTGACACCTGGTTTCAGGGCAGTCATGGGTAAGAGTTTAAACTTCTTGCACTTATTTACAAAAAATAAAAAGTAATTAAAAAAGCAATGAAACAAACAGAAAACTGTTATCTGGTTCATCTGGTCATTAAGTATCAAACCATAAACCCAAGCTTTTCATGCATTCTTTGGCACTTCTTCAAGTGGACCCAAGTTTGTGTCCCTAAAAACTGTTTTCCATGACTCCTGGCTATCATCACTCTTGGCTGTGCAAAAGTATTAAATAGCTGCATGGCCCTAGAGCTCAAAAGCCAAAAGCTGCATGTATTATGAATCCCAGATTTTTCATTAATACCAAAGGAGGCAGGGAAATAGCTTTTTTTTTTTTTTTTCTCCCTCCAGTGAAACAAATGTGTGCAGTCATATTTACATTATCATTTTTCCTAAGTTCCAAAAAAAGACAGAAGCTTAATTTACAAACAAGTCATAAAAATCTCTTCCATGCTGAGTCTTGTCTTGCATATTGTGAGCCATGGTCATGGAATCATTTTCTTTTGATTATTTACATGTTCTTTAAAACTGTTTTTTTTTTTTTATCACAGGGAGCAAGATAGAAGACCACCACTACCACTATATTCACTTTCAAACCCTAACTTCCTATTTTCTTCTTTTTTTTTCCTTTTTCTTTTCCAGTTCTGTAGCAACAATTTGCTCTAAATTACTAAAAGATAAAATTCATCTGTGAGCCAAGGGCCTATTCAGCTTAAGATTTGATTAGGGGCCCAAATGAGTTCACAAATTGCCTCACATAGTCTTTTTGCACAGGAGTGTTTTTCACCTTCTAACTTCATTTACTTTCTTTTTTTTCTTTCTTTCTTTCTTCTTCTTCTTCTTTTTTTTTTTTTTTTTTTTAAAGACCAACCCACAATGGAGTGAGCAGAGAAATGTGGGTGTCTGCACTGCACAATAACCTCTCACACTAGAGTTTACATTTCATATTCATATCCCCATGGCAAGAGCCTACGTTACACAGAGAAGCAACAGTGAATAGAGATTTATACCACAGATCCCAACACCTCCAAATCAAAGCAGGCTTCCACACTAATCTCTGTTTTCCTCTCTCTTATGTGCATAGAAAACTTTAGAGAAAGCACAATGCTCAGGTACCATATGTGAGTATTTTGTGAGACAGGCAGGAGAAAGAATGAAATCTTGGTCCCAGGGAAGGGCCAGTGGG